GGGTTGCTAACTGACGGGATAACTCGGTCCGCGCAGTCAGTCTAGTGTGTCTTGTTGTGTGGCGTGCCTGACTGACGGGCTGAGAGTCAGGCTGCAATGGCTCCTTCTTAATGTACTCTTTATTGCCCTCTAAAATAAGTGGGAGCCCCCAGCAAGGCGATGTCTCTGTGGCGCGCAAACCGCCTGCGTCCTCCCCCATCTCCAGTGTTCTTGACTTTGCAATGACATCAGGTACAGGCGCGGGAATGGTCAGAGAGTGGGGTAGATTCCCTGCGAGTCTTTCACTATTTTCCCGCGTCAGTCACCGCATTTGCCTTCAGCTTGCTGAAGCTCGTGGTGGACATCGTCGAAATCGACTGTCGAACGGTCAGTATCGATTCGGCTTTCGTACCGCTTTTTAAGCCCTTTTTGGCCAGCTCTTCATATCTGAAGAGGAGCCTGCTCTGTATGAGTGACAGTCAGGTGGCGAATGGTATTTACATGTGCACAGCCTGGCTAAAAACAGGCCACCGAAAATACGAATAGAGCAGGATCGACACTCACACACACCATACTCTAAGCGGTTCGAGACTAATCAGGAGTGCATGCAAGCGGCGAAAAAAGGTGCACACTCACCGCGGAAAAGGTCAACACAGTAGTTGAGGGTAACGTTGCGACGTCGACATACAAACTCCGCCACGGTATCAACGATCAATTTAGCGTCCTGTGTGAGGTCACGTTGAGCCAGTTTCCTGCGTTCCGCGTATTGGCAATTATCACAGAGACATCCAACAACGAGGGAACAGTCGGCTGGATTAAAGGCCTCGCCAAAGTGGGCCAGGATGAGGGTTCGGCGGCAGTCAACTACGTTATCACAGTAGGAAACCATCTTGAAGAGGGCATCTTCGTGCAGTTTCACAGAAGGATCGTTGAACGGGTTGTTGGAGCTGGCTAAAATTACAATATAAAAGACGCACATTAACGGAAACATCGCAATATGACACCGCCACATAGTAAGACTTC